TTAAAGTGGAGAGAACTAACCAGCATTATTCTTTCTCCCCAGCCCAGCTGCCTGACCTTGTCTGTCTCCCTCCTACATGCAATCCCAATGCATCTCCCACTGTGTGCTGAGTTAAGAGCAGCACAAGTTGGGATCACACAATAAGCAGCACAGTGTGATTATCCTTTGCACAGAATCACACACTTACACTTCAAATTGGAAACCTGAAAGGAAAGGCAATCCTCAATGAAAAACTGCAAATCATATCTTTCTGATGATCTTCTCAGACCTGTAATCCCAACACTTCGGGTGACTGAAGCAGGCAGACTGGGTGAGCCCAGGGGTTTGAGATCAGCTGGGGCAACACGGTGGGACTCCATCTCTACAAAAATTAGCTGTGCACCTGGAGTCCAAGCTACACAGGAGACTGAGATGGGAGAACAGCTTGAGCCTCAGAGGTCGAGGCTGCAGTGGGCTGTGTTTGTGCCACTGCACTCCAGCCTGGGTGACAAAACAAGGCCCTGTCTCTAAAAGAAAAAAAGAAAAGAAAGAAAACAAAACCCAAACCCATAAAGCCTTCTTACAAATATTTACACAAAGTAGCTCTTTAACGTTAATATATTTTACAAATAATAACTACATATCTACAACGTTCCAGATATAGAAGAAAAGGCCAAAGAAGGTATTTTAGGAGAGCCAGATTATACTGAACTATGCTACTTATTAACCCAGTCACTTCTCTCATCTCTGAAGATGAGCAAATCAAATACTAATAAAAGCTGTAGAAGGATACAGATTCTCATACAATCATCTTCCATTCCAGAATAAAAGGGCTGGAGAAGGGAGGGAGGATTATTCTGTTCAAGGACAATGGCATCCTCAGCAACTCATAGAGATGTGCAGGTGAACATCAGACCAGGATGGAAACCTTATAATATCTATGATATACTATGGCTTCTATCAACCAGTTTCAGGAAAAGCAAAGAAGAATGGCCAGTTGCAGTGGCTCACACCTGTAATCCTGAAGTGGGCAGATCACATGAGGCCAGAAGTTCAAGAGCAGCCTGGCCAACGTGGTGAAACCCCGTCACTACTAAACCCCATCTCTACTAAAACACAAAAAATTAGCCAGGCATGGTGGTGGGCGCTTGTAATCCCAGCTACTTGGGAGGCTGAGGCAGGATAATCGCTTGAACCCAGGAGGTGGAGGTTGCAGTGAGTCAAAATCACGCCACTGCATTCCAGCCTGGGCAACAGAGCAAGACTCCATCTCAAAAAAAAAAAAAAAAATGCAGTCAAATGGCAGAATCAGACTTAGCCACTTTACTTAGAAAAATCTGGGCTTTATCAGCTCCATCAAGCACCATGCTCCACACCATGCTTATTCAGTGTCTGGAGTAACATTAGATGGGTGCCATTCCAAATTCCAAATGATCACATCTTTGCTTTGCAAACAGGATGTGGCTTAATAATCACACAGGGAACTAGATTCATTCAAGTATCTAGTTCCTAAAATGAGTCTATTTAACAGGTTCAACAACATGCAACACACACCCTCCAACTGGTAGAAACACCTCTCAATGACAAAGAAAGGTGGCAAATACTAAACACCTTCACAGACCATTTAGCAACTGGTGGGACTAACCCTTGAAGGTGAATTCAAAATAGAACTGAACCTCAATGCCAGACTTGTTTTTCAGAAAAGAGAGTATGAATTCTTAGTTTCAGGTTTAGATCAAAACCAGAAGTTGTATTGCTTAATGAAAAACACTGGGTCAGCCAGGGGGGCTCATTCCACCCTGTAATCCCAGGACTTTGGTAGGCCAAGGCAAGGGGATCACTTGAGCTCAGGAATTGGAGACCAGCTTGGGCAACATGGTGAAACCTCGTCTACAAAAAATACAAAAATTAGCCAGGTGTGGTGGCATGCTCCTGTGGTCCCAGCTACTCAAGGGGCTGAGGTGGGAGGATCGCTTGAGACCAGGAGGCAGAGGTTGCAGTGAGCCAAGATTGTGTCACTGCACTCCAGCCTGGGTGACTAAGCAAGACTGTCTCAAAAAAACAAAAACAAACAAACAAACAAAACCCACTGGCCCAGAACCTCCAATTAAGTTGTTTGGAGGAAGAGGATGGAAATCTATTAGTTAAGATTTAACCTGCATATGTTGCCTTCTTAACTAAAATCAGACTCACAAAGGAATGTATTCTGGCTTCAGTCTTGTTGGTACTGCTTTCCCTCTATTTGCTTCCCATGCTATTGCTTCATCCTTGTTTCTGCAGAACTAGGATTTTAGCTTAAAGTCACCTAAAAGCCTCCACAGGAAACTATGTTCCAAAGGGAAAACTCCATGGGGAGAACAATAGAGAAAGAAGTTACTTTTAAGTCTTTAGTAATGTTCACCCAACCCAGTCTTCATTTTCTCTCAAAGGACAAGAACCCTCAACTAATAAAGCAAATGAACTTACAGGAAGGTAATATATGGAAATAAACATCTTATTGAATTCATCTGGCTCTAAATCTCTTTCGTTAGGGAATTTATAGTATTTCATTGTCTCACAATCTCTCGATTTCTATCTACTTGATTAAACTATGGTACTATAGCAATGGAGGTGAAGGCCTAATTTAGAAGTATAGGAATTAGGCAAGGCATGGTGGCTCATGCCCATAATCCCAGCACTTTGAGAGGCCAAGGTGGGTGGATCACTTGAGGCCAGGAGTTCGAGACCAGCCTGGCCAACATGGTGAAACCCCATCTCTACTAAAAATAGAAAAATTAGCTGGGCGTGGTGGCAAACACCTGTAGTCCCTGCTACACAGGGGGCTGACGCAGGAGAATCGCTTGAACCCAGGAGGCGGAGGTTGCAGTGAGCTGAGATCATATCACTGCACTCAGCCTCAGTATATGCTGAGTGATAAAGCAAGACTCCATCTCAAAAAAAAAAAAAAAAGGCCGGGCATGTTGGCTCAAGCCTGTAATCCCAGCACTTTGGGAGGCCGAGACGGGCGGATCACAAGGTCAGGAGATCGAGACCATCCTGGCTAACATGGTGAAACCCCGTCTCTACTAAAAAAATACAAAAAAACTAGCTGGGTGAGATCTGGCCACTGCACTCCAGCCTGGGGGACAGAGCGGGACCCCCGCCTCTCAAAAAAAAAAAAAAAAAAAAAAGGAAAGGAATTATTCTCATGTATACAGTACTAGTAAACAACCTACAAAGCTTTTGAGCATCTTATAATCCACTGTGTACCACTGTTTCATATTTTCATATTTCTGTAATTGAACTATAGAATCTAGGGCTAGGTCTTAAGACTTTTCTCGTAACCTTCAGAGTGCCCAGCACTGGGACTGACACATACCAGTTAGAAGGATCTTTTTTCCCCCCACCATAAACCAGGCTCAAACTCTTCTATAACCCAAATCAACATATTCTGAGTGCCAATCTTGTGTAAGGCACTCTATTATTTGTCATGCAGGATTCAGAGGAAAATGTGATCTACCACACTCAAAAGCAGGCCTCTTATCCTCTCCAGCTTAATGCATTTTACCAGTTAAGGACTACTCTGATGCTGAGATGGTACTTCTTTCCCTAAATCAAATGTCATGTGTTTAATTAAATGCTTTTAATTCCATATATCAAATAACTTTTGTGAAAGTAATTTAAACACACTTGAAACATCATATAGAACATGACTATATGACTCAACTGTAAATGTGGCTCCCACCCCCATAACATCTATACAATATAACCAAAGAGCTAGATTCCAGGAGATTATCAAGAAACTTCTAAATTTTGAACTCATGCAGCAGAATTGTATTCCTTTACATTGTTGACTCGACTTATATATGTGCTGTGGAATAATTGTCCTCAAATGCAATTTTCACTACTGATTACATAGCTGCCTAAAAGAAAACTGTTAGCCCCATCCATTTTATATCAAACCAATGTCTAAAGTGCTCTTGACTCTTCAACCCCACATTTTCCCCACCCTCATCCCTCCTCAATCCCCAGAACCCACTCATCACATCCACTAGACCTGAAATTTGAGCTCAATCATAACTCTTTGTGCCTCTGCTCAAGCCCTTCTTCCTGTCTGGAATACCTTCTTTTCAGTCCCGGCTAATTACATCTACCACCCCATTCCAAGTAGCCGCTGGAAACTCACTTCCTTATGTTCTATGACTTCTTTCACAGTTTATACTTGTTTTGTTTTGGGGGGGTTGTTTTTTTGAGACGGAGTCTCGCTCTGCTGCCCAGGCTGGAGTGCAGTGGCGCGATCTCGGCTCACGACAACCTCCACCTCCTGGGTTCAAGCGATTCTCCCGCCTTAGCACCCCGAGTAGCTGGGACTACAGGCGCGCACCACCACGCCCGGCTAATTTTTTGTATTTTTGGTAGAGACGTGGTTTCACGGTGTTGGTCAGGCTGGTCTCGAACTCCTGACCTCGTGATCCGCCCGCCAAACATTCTATGTGCTAGACACTCGTATGTAACCTTGCATAGTTCTTGTATTATGTCTCCCCAATTTTGAGTGTTTTCTCTGGTCTCCTCTACCCAGCCCCTGGCCACAGCCTCACTAGGACCCTGGACAGCTTGAACACGGTCAGAAGGATCACCTAAGATTTTTGCTGGCACAGTATTTTCCATAAATTAATCTCCTGATTGAACCGTAGTCCTATAGTAGTTATCTTTGGATGTAAACCTAATACAGCTCGAGAAGGAAGTGGAGTGCTTGTGATCAGAGGGCTGGGCAAAAGCCCAGAGGGCGTCTCTGTAGCCCTGGGGGAGCTGTCCCCAGGCAGGCTCTCTCAGGGCCCGGGAACAGGGCGGGACAAGTTCGACTGACCTGTGCGGTAAGGACGGGGCCAAGACCCGGAACCGAAAAGCAGGTCACGATAGCGCTGGAAGGCCTCGTCGAGGACTGAGCAGCCAGGCTGCGCGGCGGAGCTGATATCGTACTGGAATTGAAAGTTGTTCGGGTAAAGGACGTAGCGCTGGTCGGAGGTTTGGATGTTCTGAGGCCAGGGCCAGAGGGCGGTCGCCCGTCCTGCGAACGCTGCCGCCAGCAGCAGCGAAAAACTAAGCCTGGAGCTTGCCATGGCCCGCCGGTCTCCCCTCTCGGAGAGGCCTGGCCACGTGAGACCCTGGTCAGGTGAGCGGCGCCCGCGTGACTATCGGCGAATCACGTGACCAGAGGCGGCTCTGCGCCTGCGACCCCGGGAGGACCCACTCCCTGCCCTTTCACTTCCGGCCTGGACGTGAGGCTCCTGCTGCATGCAGCGGGTAGTGCCGGGGTCGGCAACTGCTCGGCTCCCCAGACGCCTGTCGGGCCCAGTAGAACCGTAAATAACCCGCCACCCCTGCGGCCGTGCCGTCTCTGATGGAACTAGACAGCTCACCCGACTCGAGAAGCACGGGGTGGGGAGGCAAGGACGCAGGGCGAGCTGGAAAAGAAAGTTTCCCAGATGGCTCCAGGGTGAATCTTGAATGTTGTGATGGAGCTCGCCAGGCCTACTGGGAGGTAAAGGACTTCCCAGGCTGAAGTAAGTTCAGCAGCAGAAAAACGGAGGATTAAAACCACAAGTCGTTGTGATGTGAAATTTCGTGGGGCAAGAAAGGGCCGGAAGTGGGTAGTCTGCACGGCTCTGCTAGAGAGGGGATCACAAGATCACAAAAATGTGATCTACTTATGACTGGAAAAAATGTGTACTTTCAGAGCCAGCTCGAGGCATTCCATTGCCTCCGATATGAGCTCTTCCCTTCAAGATTGACTATAAATCTCTTAGTTAGCAACTCACATACCCTTTCTCCAGACAAAACCCCACGTACCCCGGCGTGTATTTACTGAAAGCAGTAAGATATTGCTGGGCCTTTGGGTGCAAGATGGGGAGTGCTCAGAGATAATGACAGGGGCCTGGTCCTGCAGGGCCTTACATAGGAAGTCGAGGAATTTATTCTCTGAGGAATTGAAAATCATCCCGAAAGATCAGCATTTTAGAAATATCATGTTGAATAGTTGCATAAAAAACCAGTTAGGAGGCCCCTTTTTATTGGAGGTAGAGAATAAGGAGAGACTGAACTACAGAAGTCGGGAAGGAAGAGCACTGTAGATCCAAGAAATAGTGGGTATCCAGAAGAGAGGCTTGAGAAGTGATCAAGGAGAATTCCACAGTTATCAGAGACCCTGTCTTCCTTGTTCACCACTATATTACCAGAACATAATGCAAATAATGCTATTGTTATTGGGTGGCATTATTTAGTTAGTAGGTACTTTTTTAAATTTTAAAATTTAATTTTAGTATTAAAATACATGTAAAGATCAGGAAAATGAACTTTTAAAATTAAGGGCTTTCACTGGGCATGATAACACATCCCTGTAGTCCCAGCTACTCCCAGCTATTCAGGAGGCTAAGGCGGGAGGATCACTTGAACCAAGGAGTTCAAGTTTAGCCTGGGCAATATAGTGAAACCCTTTCTCAAAAACAAATAAAGGGCTACTGAAATTGAAATCATGATAATTTATGTTCAGCTCGTAGATACCTAATTGCTAGTTATACATACATGGCTTTGATGGGAAATCAAAGAAACATTCTGACAATACAGAAATTCATCAAGCAATTTGTCTTTGACAGTTGATTATTCAAGAACAGAGCTTGTAGCAAAAAAAGCAGAAATTAGATCCCATAGTCATCAGGTTCAGATTCTAAGGCATGCATTCTTACACTAATTTCTTCTTTGCTCAAATCTTAATTTTCATCAGCATTAGTAAGTGTCTGGGTACTCTGCCAGTCAGGAGAGATGTTACCAAAGGTACAAAGGAAAAGGATTTGAAAAGTATTGTCAGAAGAGCCACGTTCATAATCAGACCCACAGGATCAATAATTTGGGGGAGTGTTTAGAGCAGTTTCAAGGATGACAGCAGTAGATCAAAGTAGAATTTCAGGACTGAGCATATGCCAAGGCACCCTTTTATGTGATATTCAACCTGTACCAGAAGGGAGGAGTCATTTAAAAGAGTTACACAAGATGAAAGAGCTAGATCCAAATAAAGACATTATAAAAATTACTAATGGGGTCGAGCATGGTGGATTACAAGGATTCAGTTATTTAATTATTACTGAAAGAGCTCTTTTAGACTTAACCAGATTTTTAAATCAAATATTCTTATGCATACATAAAAGTAAGTTACACAAGATAAATTTGTTGATCTTCCAAAATATCCCCTCTTACTATACACTAGAGTGGGGTTTTGGCATAATGGCAGACAAATAGATGGAATGGAATAGAGGGTCCAGGAAAAGAGCCATTTGATTATTACTCGATTTCAACAAAGACACCAATTTAATTTAGTGGGGAAAGCAAGTTATTTTCAATAAAAGGTGATAAAGAAAATAGATACCCCTATGTGGGGAAATGAACTATGATCCCCTACCTCACAGCATACGCAAACTTAATTAAAAATGGATCACAGGCTGGGGATGGTGGCTCACACCTGCAATTCCAGCACTATAGGAGGCCAAGATGGGAGGATCACTTGAGCCCAGGAGTTCAAGACCAGCATGGATAATACAAGGAAACTTCATTTCTCTTTTTTTTTTTTTGAGATGGGGGTGGTTAATGGGTACAAAAAAAAGTAGACTGAATAAGACGTACTATTCGAGAGCACAACAGGGTGACTATAGTCAATAATAGCTGTATATTTTAAAAGAACTTAAAAGAATATAACTGGATTGTTTACAACTCAAAGGATAAATGATTGAGAGTATGGATAACCCCATTCTCCATGATGTGCTTGTTTCACATTGGACGCCTATATCAAAACATCTCATGTACCCCATAAATATATGCACCTACTATGTACCACAGAAACTTAAAATTAAAATTAGACTGGGCATGGTAGCTCATGCCTGTAATCCCAGCACTTTGGGAGGCTGAGGCGGGTGAATCACTTGAGGTCAGAAGTTTGAGACCAGCCTGGCCAACACGGTCAAACCCCATCTCTACTAAATACAAAAATTAGCATGGTGGCAGGCACCTGTAATCCCAGCTACTTGGGAGGCTGAGGCAGGAGGGTCACTTGAACCCAGGAGGTGGAGGTTGCAGTGAGCCAAGATCACGCTACTGCACTCCAGCCTGGGTGGAGGTTCTATCTCAAAAAAAAATTAAATATAAATTTTAAAAATGAATAAACAGTTTTTAACAATATGAATTATTTAAATTAATATATATACAACATTGCCATCAATTTGACAGTAAATGAATATCAAAAATACGTAATAAATTATATAATATTTGATTATTTTTCTTAATTAAAGGCAGCTTGTTAAATGAATAAAAACATTTAATTTTCATATCTATATCTTCTAATAAAATTAATTTACAGATCAGAAAAATAATTCACTGTCAGACAATGTGCCCAGGTTTTTGGCTTATAAATTAGGGGATCAGAAAGCAGGAAATAAATAATTTGCCTCAGGAAGTCTTTTACAATGGAGGTGAACTTTGAATTGACTCCCAAAGCATGAGTTAGCCAGGCAGGGAAGGGGAGCATAGGCAAAGCACAGAGGTGTGAAAGAGGATGACGTATTGAACGAAGGGTTTATGGGGCTAGCAAAAGAAAATGTGCCACGATTACCTCACTTCCTGGTCCTCTACCATACTCTCTTCTCTCTGCAATGCCTTTCCCACTTCCCTCTGCCTACTTGAAGGTCTAAACTTATATTTTACCATCCTGGAAATCTCTGACTTCTCAAATCTGGATAAGATCCCCCTCTGTGATCCCATAACTCTCTGAGTTAATCTCACGTATCTCAAAGTACAGTTGACCCTTGAACAACATGGGTTTGAACTGCCCTGGTCCATCTATACACAGATACTATGTAGCCAAAGGCAGATGGAAAACACAGTGTTCTTGGGATGCAAACCCCATGGGTATGGAGGACCATCTGCAGGCCTTGAGTATATGCAGAGTATATGCAGATTTTGGTATTCTTGGAAGGTTGGGGACATGGGGGAGGCGGGTCCTGGAACCAATCCCTTGAGTATATTGGGGTATGGCTCTATTGTTATTGTTTGTCCATTTGTCTGTCTGTTCCACTACAGTAAAAGCTCCTGCAATCTCAAACTCTTGGGCTCAAGGGATCCTCCCATATCAGCCTCCCAAGTAGGTGGGACTACAGGCACATGCTACCATGCCAAGCTAATTTTTAAAGTTTTTGTAGAGATGGGTCTCCCTATGTTGCCCAGGCTGGTCTCAAACTCTTGGGCTCAAGCGATCCTCCTGCCTCAGGCTTCCAAAGTGCTGCAATTATAGGTAACGCCACTGGCCCAGCCATCCTGACACTCTTTAAACCCATTCCATTTCACATGTCTCTGCCTCTGCTTTACCCTGTTGCCTCCAAGCTCTTTCCTTCCTATCTCTAAATTTACAAAACTCTATGCAATTTATCAGTACTGAACATATACAATTTTATGTAGGGTTTCTAAAAATGTGTCCAGGGCCCAGTGTGGTGGCTTATGCCTGTAATCCCAGCACTTTGGGAGGCCGAGGCAGGGGGATTACTTGAGCCCAGGAGTTCGAGACCAACCTGGGCAACACAGGGAGACCCCATCTCTATCTCTACCCAAAAGAAAATGTTGTATCCAGTTTCTTTTTTAGCCCAATCCCCTCCTGTCTTCTAGTCTTATAATTATCCCAGTTATTCAGGTTTACTCACTAAGTCTTAGCTGACTTTCCTAAAACTAGACATACACCCCTTGTAATAACTGACTTTGTCCTATATCCATCCAATCTGAGGCTATAAATAGACCTTTCTTTTCTTTTCTTGTTTGTAGAGACTTGCTGTACTTTTTAAAGATCTTGCTATATTGCCCAGACTGGTCTTGAACTCCTAGCCTCAAGCAATCCTCCCTCTTGGCCTCCCAAAGTGCTGGGATGACTATTGTGAGCCACCACACCCAGCCAGACTTTTATTTATGGCCTGAATTTTTTACAAAGGTTTTTTTTGTGTGTCATAAAACTAGAAAAACTAGAGCCCCAGGGGAACTTTTGACGGATCTGAGCTAAAGGAGTGACAGTGGAAAGGAAGCTGTGGGACAAATGCAATAATATTTCAGACACGGAATAATGGAACTCAGCAGCTAACTGGGTGC